AAAAAAAAAAAAAAACCAGTAAAAAAGGTGGGCATGCCTCTCTGTCGGTCTGTCAGCTCCAGCATCAGTTCTAAGTTACATGCGTTCTACGCTGTGCCCGCTGATTATGATGAGGCTGCGTTCTGTGTATCATGAGGTGGTCCCCACCACATATGGGGTTTCTTTATGCAGGACCTGGTGCTCAACTCAGCATACAACAACTCACAGCCCTACAATGGCCAATGGGCAATCAAATGGTGGTCCCCACCACAACAGTTATGCCATGGTGGTCTTCCCACATGGTGGACCACTGTGATGATTCATGCCATGGTGGTCCCACCACATAACGGCCCCCTTCACAATGAGTAGGACAAGCTGGTGCCCGCCACCATGGTGGTCCCGACCACATGTGGCCCTGATGTTGTTCACTGTAAGATCGAGGGCCAATCCGGACTCAATCTTGAACTGATCTCAAGCTGACCTTCAGCTGATCAGGAATCGATGCGGAATTTGATCTTGGACTGGTCTAGAAACAATCTGAAACAGGTCTGGAACCCCTAGCTGCTGATCGGAAACCAATCTGGAACCGATTGGGAGCCTATCTGGAACCGATCTGGAACCGATCTGGAACCGATCTGGAACCGATCTGGAACCGATCTGGAACTGATCTGGAACCGATCTGAAACCGGTCTGAAACCTGGAATTGATTTGGAATTGATTTGAATTGATTTGGAATTGATTTGGAATTGATTTGGAATTCATTTGGATTTGATTTGGATTTGATCTGGAACTGATCAAAGAACTGATCCGGAACCGATCTGGAATCCATTTGGAACTTATCTGGATCTGGAACCAATTTGGGACCAATCGGGAACTGCTCTGGGAACCGATCAGGAACTGCTCTGGGAACTGATTTCGAACCACTCTGGAATTGATCGAGAACCGATCTGAAACCAATGAGCAACAAATCTGGAACTGATCTGGGAACCGATCTGGAACTGATCTGGAACCTGTTTGGAACCGATTGGGTACCAATCTAGAGAAGATATGGGAACTGGTCTGGAACAGATCTGGAATCGATTCGGTACCAATCTGGAACTGATCTGGAATGGAACCGATTCGGAGACGATCTCGAACCAACCTGGATCCGATCTGGAGGAGCCAATCTATAACCGATCTGGAACCGGTCTGGAATTGATTTGGAACCGATCTGGAACTCGTCTTGAATCAATCTGGAACCTGCCCGGAGACTGATTTGCAAGCAATCTGAATTTGATCTGGAACTGGTCTGGAACCAATCTGGAACCGGTCTGGGAACCGATCGGAATCAATCTGGAACCGATTGGAACCGACCTGGAACTGATCCAGGAGCTGATCTGGAACTGATCTGAAATCGATTTGGAATCAATCTAATAGATCTGGAACCAATCTAATAGATATGGGACCAATTTGCAACTGATCCGGAACCAGTCTGGAACTGATCTTGGAACCGATCTGGAACCGATCTGGAACCGATCTGGAACCGATCTGGAACTGGTCTGAAACCGATCTGAAATCGATCTGGAACCGATCTGGAACCGATCTGGGAACCGATCTGGAACCAACCTGGAACTGGTCTGGCAGCCAATTTGGGAACTGATCTGGGTCCAATCCTGGGAGGAGGAACCAATTTGGGACCAATGTGTTCCACAAGTGGTACACAGTTGATCTGGAACTCATCTATAGATCCATCTTACAACCCGGTCTGCTTGGTATGATCGAACTTCCTGGTAAGTATTCCATCCATTTGCTCTCCTCTCCAATGATGCCTAATTCCTGCGGTGGTCCCCACTTCTTGATTGACCTCCTCACTCGATCACCTTTTGAACCAATTTGGAACCAATCTGTTCCAGAAGTGATCTGGAAGTGATGCACAGCTGATCTGGAACTCGTCTACCAATCCATCTGGAACCTGGACTGCTTGGTACCATTGGACTTCCCAATAGTGTTCCTTGGTCTCCTCTCCAGTGATGCCTAATTCCTGCGATGGTCCCCACTTCTCCATCGCCTTCCTCACTCGATCAACTCTCCTCTCCAATGGTGGTTGTTCTGCAATGATGCCTGCTTCTTGATCGACTTTTCTCACTCAGTCACCACCACATGTCCTTTCATGTCCTCCTGAAATCGACCGCAGTGGTAGCTGTAGTTTCCTGGGGTCCGAAAAGTGTGGCTGAACTTGAACGTATCGCCCGACTCACCTGAAAGCACATGCACACACACACACACACACACCATCAACCAGTGTGTGTTGTCAAAAAACCACAATCTCTCTCTCTCTCTCTCTCTCTCTCTCTCTCTCTCTCTCTCTCTCTCTCCCCATCTACAGATCGTCACAAACGATCCATGAAGCAAAAAAAGTGTAGATACTAGATAGGCCATATAGTGGAAGATGCAAGGTTGGCCATTTTGTGTGTGTGTGTGTGTGTGTGTGTGTGTGTGTGTGTGTGTGTGTGTGTGTGTGTGTGTGTGTGTG